TTTCTCAAGAAAATGAAGAAACAAGAAGTGAAATGGGATTGGATGTTGATTTTTGTGAGAATCTTTCTCAAGAAAATGAAGAAACAAGAAGTGAAATGGGATTGGATGTTGATTTTTGTGAGAATCTTTCTCAAGAAAATAATGAAAGAAAACATATTCAAGACAGTGTGGTAAGTATTTAATAATTATTTAATAATACATTCTGTACAAAGGATTTTTGACACATTTGTTTTTTTTTTTCTACCAGTTAACTGATATTTTAGGAAACATTATCGATTACTCAGATACTACAAAAGAAATTTTTTCAATTTATAAAAAACAAAATCCTGATGGTGATCTAATCAATCTTCGATTAAATTCACCCTTTTTCAAAAAACTTCCAAAATCAACAGTGAGATTATATCTTACAGAGATGGTTAACACAATTGAATCATTAATTCCCAAGAATGTACATGATTTTCTTGTATGTTTTTTTCAAAAAAATTAACTGCTGAAGAATGGCATTGTGAAATAGACGATTTAAGATCTCCAGAACAGAATGATCCCATGATGACAGCAGTAGTACAAGTTATACATCATACCTTGCCACAATTGTATGTTGGGTGTTAATTGATCTTTTTTTTTCAGATTCTGTTCTAAACAATTTTTTTTTCCTTTACATAGTATCAAGGCATTCTCGCTTGAGGATCAAAATCCTCTTTTAAACATTACGACCATTGAAGGGGCTCATCTTAATTCATTTGTTCATCCATGTTTTGATGCCTTTTTGTGGTATATAGCAAATATACATTATGAGTATGGTGAAATTCATCGAAAAAGCATGTTAATAAAAATCGTGCCAATGGCGTGGGGTATATGATAGATGCCAACAAGCATCAGCTTATCTATGTAGAAGGCACAAGACCAACAGTAAAGGATGATAAGGAAATTGCTGATCTGGAAAAAATAACGAATAATTTAAAGAATATGTTTGGAGAACAGAAGGCGCCTTCCTAAGACATTATATTTATTTGGCGGTCAAAGCTTCCGCCTTCGAATACATTTATTTTATATTGATTATTGTGGTATGTATGTTCGTTTATTGGAAAAATTTTATTATAAAAAAGGTATGGGTAATTTTGAACTAAATGTCAATCTAGGAGCGTATAGATTAAATGAGGTCGATAACGCTAATCTTCCTTGAAAATTTTCCGAAATGAAAGATTTCATTTATTTTTATGAATGTGTAATGAAATGGGCAGTATGTATTAATATTGATTATTTGTTGTGACATTTAACTTCCTTTAATCTTACGTGTTATTTATGAATTTAGTTGTTGATTCATAATGTTACTGAATCCTTTGACGCTGCAAGATCTGGACAGAGACCATCACAGCTTTTGTATGTAGACAACCTATTTCAGTTGGATAAGTAAAATTTTAGCTATATCTTTAGTTCACAACAATGTTGGATTATGTTACTTTTTTTTTGGGTTATCTGTATATTCAAACAATGTCTTCCATTATTAAAAATTGCAAGATGAGATTAATTTTCACACAATCATGTTAAATAAAAAATGGCAAACTAAAAGGACCTCACTTTATTGATATAAAAACGTTACTGGAATGACAACACACAAATAAATAATTATACATCATGGTTATATGATGTAAATACAAATAAAAAATATTTCTTGTGCTACATGAGGCAAATGATCATCATCTAAACAATATTGTGCATATTCCTTAGAAACATAATAAAGGGATTTATTGCAAGAAAACCTTCTTCTTTGGGATGATCTAAATTAACCACACAGTGTGCATATAGTTTGATAAATTGAAATTATTATTTATATATACTAAAGATACCATTAATATACGATACATGTGTACTTAATTGTCTTTTTAACTTCAGCAAGATTTACTTACCATATCTGTTTCTCCTATTCCTGCATTAATGATTGATCTTTGATTAGGTCTTGGATTAGATGGTGTTGGAGTGATGTTTCTAGAGGCATTAGAATTATTAATTCACTAACCGTAAGTTACAAATGACACAGTTCTTTTCAATGAGCATCAAGAAATCAGCAAGGAACAAGGGAAAAGGAGATGGACAATTGAGCAAAACCTGGAACCAAAAGAAAAGGAATCTTTAAAAAATATTAATGGAAAGTTTGTAAATTATGGGCTGGATCATTTGATGATAAAAAGAGATAGGAATACAAAAGGGAATCAGCTAAAAGTTCATCTTTTACCAAGAGAAAAGAAAGGCGGACAAAAGAAAAGAAAAGAAGGGTCAGCTCTTACCAAGAGGATCTAAAGAAACAAATTTGAAATAAACCAGAATGATGAAAATATAACAATGTAATAATGTAACAATGTAACAAACAATAGATAATTTCCAAGAAGGAGTACCCACCCATGGGAAATCTTCTTACCAAAGAAATATTACACAAGAGGTTGTTTGTAAAACGAAAATCAAGAAATAACTACAAAATAATAATAATAATAAAATAATCCATTCAAAAGGGCTGGAGTTTTCCCGGTCTTGACCAAATGTTACTCAGATTATATAAAAAACTATGTATTTGGAATTAAAGTTGGTGTTTGCAATTAAGAAATACAACTGGTTAAGAAAATTTAGAACATAAAAGCTGCAATAGAAGAGTCTGCGACTAGTTGAAACTTTGGATATCGAATCAGTTGCAGATACCAACTTTAATTTGAATTTGATTTGAATTCGTATTCGTATTCGTATTTAAACTTGGATTCACACACTAACGCACCAATAGGAGGCAACTCAATACGAATTGCGGCATGAAATTCAACATAACATGTAATGTATCCATTTTTATGAAAAATTAA